GCAGACATGCAGAAAGAAACTGAGTAGGAAACAGGCAGAGAGAGAGGGAGGGGGTGGGAGGTTAGTTGTGCTTCTTCTGGAAGCCTAGCTGAATCTTGTCCTTTGGTTCCATAAGACAACTATTTTCATATATATATAATATTCATGTATTATGTATACAATGTTCTGTCTGCATGCACATCTGCACTCCACAGGAGGGCACTAGGTCTCATTATAGGTGTTTGTGAGCCACCATGTAGTTGCTGGGAATTGAACTCAGGACCTTTAGAAGAACAGCCAGTGCTCTTAACCTCTGAGCCATCTCTCCAGCCCCGACAACTATTTTCTTAAAGGGTTATTTTAAATTATGTGCACGTGTGTATCTGCATGAGCTTATACGAATCACATGTGCATGGGAACCTGCTAAAACAAGAAGAGTGTTTGATATCCTAGAGCTGGGGTTACTGGTGGTTGTCAGCCACCTGAAGTGGGAGCTGAGAACTGAAATTGGGCCCTCTGAAAGAGCAGTATGTCCTCTAAACCATAAGTCAACTCTTCAACCCCCTTTAAAAAGTTTTTGTTAGATGTTTTGTATTGTTCTCTTTGTTTCTACTTTATTGATTTCAGGAAGAGTGGGAACAAGGACCATCAGAGCCAATCAAAAACTAGGGCCCAGAGGGGCCTATTGGAGTCTGAATAAAGGACAATGCATGGTCTGGGCCCTGGTCCTCTACTTAGAAGTAGCCAATGGCTTCATGTGGGCCCACTAGTTAGAGGAGTGGTGGCTATCTCTGACATGGACTATGTTACACACTTTTTGATCAATTCCCCCTGCTGGGACTGCCCTAACCAGGCCACAGGAGAGGAAGATGAACTCAATCTTCATGTGAATAGATGAGTTGGGGTGTCTGAATGGGGGGAGGGCTCCCCTATTCTGAGAAAATAGGAGGAGGGAGATGTGGGAGGATGGGTGGGACTCAGAGGAGAGGAGGGAGGGATATATGGCCAAGATGTAAATTGAATTAATTAATAAAGAATTTCTCTTAGCTGGGTGTGGTGGCACACACCTGTAATCCCAGCACTCAGAGACATATGTGCACTTTCATACACTTATGTGTACACACACACACACACACAAAGTAAATAAATGAATAAGTACATTAAAAAAAAAAAAGAAAATGAAAATCCTGAAACAATAGGAACTGGGGATGAGGTTCAATGGCAGAAAGCTTGCAAGGATTCAATACCAAGTGGGGGTAGGGAGAACACACATTGCATTTATACATCTAAAAACAGGGGAAAAAAGTCCCCGTAAAAATAACCAACTTTACAAAAAAAAAAAAAAAAAAAAAAGAGCCAGGAGGCTGTGAGTTGGAGGCCAGCCTGGTCTACAAATTGAGCCAAGGCTACACAGAAAAACTCTGTCTCCAAAAAACAAACAAAAAAGTTTCTATTGGCATATATACATAATAATGGCCTTCATTCTGACATTTTCATACATGTGTATAATGTATTTTGACCATAGTCACCCCCTATTACCCTCTCATCCCTCTCCCACTCACGTTGATCCCCTTCCTTTTCTACATATCATTTTTGTTAGGTTTGTTTTGTTTTGTTTTTTATTGTTGACCCAATGAGTTTAATCAGGGTTACTTACAGGATCACTGGACAACTGCCCTGTGGCTATAGCACTGAAGAAATCTTTCCTTCCCCCAACAAACTTTAACTATTAATTGATCCTCATGGAGGGGTTGGGCCTCATGAGCCCCTCCCATTCTGTGAGGAAATATTAATAGGCCTGGTCTCCTGCTGGTCTAGTGTAGGTAAGTAATCACAGCTACTTGGAATTCTAGTACAATGAGCAGGATGTGGCTCCCCCAGGTCTTTAATTCCATCACTAAGGAGGCAATGGCAGGAGAATCTCTGTGTGTTCAAGGCCAACCTGGTCTACATATCAAGCTACAGGACAATAGGACCACAAAGAGACCTTGTCTCAAAAGAAAACAACAAAACAAAGAGTATAATGGTCATGCCATGTCTCAAAGACATCTACAACATCTTACCTTTTCCTCAGGCTCTTACCTCCCCTTCCTCCACATATCTTTTATAAAATGTATGAAGGTTTAAGAAGTTACAACATGGGTGTAGAGAGATGGCTCAAAGGTTAAGATCACTGGCTGCTCTTGCGAAGTGTCCCGAGTTCAATTCCCAACAACCACATGGTTGCTTACAACCATCTGTAATGAGATCTGGTGCCCTCTTCTGGCGTACAGGTATATGTGTAGGCAGAACACTATATACATAATAAATAAATAAATCTTAAAAAAAAAAAAAAGTTACAACATAAGTTCTCTCTGTGTAGCCTTGGCTGTCCTGAAACTGGCTATGTATTTCAGGCTGGCCATAAACTCACAGAGATCTGCCTGCCAAGTGCTGGAATTAAAGGCATGAACCACTGTGCCTGGTAAGTGACTATATTCTCTCTGAAAGTTGCCTTCAGTGGCCTGTTCTTTACTTTTTTTTCCAGACAGCTTGTCATGTATCCCATGATGGATGACCTTGACTTTCTGTTCTTCTCAACCAGTACTGGGATTACAGGCATGTGCCACCATACCCCATTTTGTTGCAATTCAGTGAAAAGACTGAACTCTTTTTTGCACATGTTTAGACCTTTAGTAGTTTCTGTAAGGGGCTGGATAGAAAACTCAGCCTAAGAACTTTCAAGCCTGGAACAGTGGCACAGGCCTTTAACACCAGCACTTGGGAAACAGGGACAGGCATATTTTTATAGCTTCAAGGGAACACCGTAAATTCCAGCACAACCATGGCTATATAGAAAGACCCTGTCTCAAAAAATTCAATAAATAAATTTTTTAAAATGTTAAAAAAAAAAAAAAGCAATCTTGTGGCTTTTTCAGAGGACCTGAGTACCCATGTCAGTCAGCTTACAAATTCACAATCTCTTACAAGCTGTAAGGGATCTGACACTCTCTCCTGGGCTCTGTGAGAACCAGCACACTGTCATGCACACAACACACACCATTTAATTTTTTTAATTAATTACACTTTATTCACTTTGTATCTCAGCTGTAGCCCCTCCTTCCCTTTTCTCCTCCCATGCTTCTCCCCAAGTCCACTGATAGGGGAAGCCCTCCTCCCCTTCCATTTGACCCTAGCTTATCAGGACTCATCAGAACTGGCTGCATTGTCTTCCTCTGTGGCCTGGTAAGGCTGTTCCCCCCCTTAGGCGGAGGTGATCGGAGAGTCAGTCACTGAGTTCATGTCAGAGATAGCACCTGTTCTTACTAGGAAACCCAGTTGGACACTGAGCTGCCATGGGCTACATCTGTGCAGAGGTTCTAGGTTATATCCATGCATGGTCCTTGGTTGGAAAATCAGTCTCACAAAAGACCCCTGGGCCCAGATTTTTTTGTTCTGGTGCTCTCCTTGTGGACCTCCAGACCCTTTCAGGTCTATCTCCCCCTTCTTTTATGATTCCCTGCACTCTCCCCAAAGTTTGGTTCTGAGTCTCAGCATCTGTTTTAATACCCTGCTGGGTAGTTTTTCAGAGGCTCTCTCTGGAAGCCTCCTGTCCTGTTCCATTTTTCTCCCTCTTCTGATGTCCATCCCCTTTGCCTTTCTGAATGAGGATTGAGCATCTTACCCAGGGTCCTCCTTGATTAGCTTCTTTAGGTGCACAGATTTTAGGATGATTATCCTATATATGTTTAATACCCACCTATAAGTGACTATATACCATGTGTCTTTCTGCTTCTGGGATACCTCACTCAAGATGATCTTTTCTAGTTCCCACCACTTGCTTGCAAATTTCATGATTTCCTTGTTTTTAATTGTTGAGTAGTATTCAACTGTACAATTTCTGTATCCATTCCTCAGTTGAGGGACATCTAGGTTGTTTCCAGATTCTGGCTATTACGAATAAACCTGCTAAGAGCTAATGTCCTTGTATACTTGAGCATATTTTGGACATATGCCTAGGCGTGGCATAGCTGGATATTGAAGTATCAGTATTCCTAACTGTCTGAGATAGCACCAGATTGATTTCAAAAGTGGTTGTATATTATGCTGGGCAATGTCAAGAGTGAATACCTCTATGCAACCTTGGACGCTTGAACCCAGCAGAGGCTGGCACTCATTTATAAGAACATGCTTTGCAGGCCAGTCACTTCATCATATGAATGTGTACTTATATATGGCTCTAGGATTCCACTTAAAGGGCTCAGCGGTAGAGGGACCTTGTCCTAAATTGAATCCCTAGTATATACGGGGGTGGGAGAAAACTCCATCCAGGGAGTTGTTTGCAACCCCACACACTATCTTCTAATAAATGCAAATTTAAGATTCCTTTTAGGGACATAAATCTGAATTTTCATGGTTCTCAAACATGCAGAAACCTGGGCTCAGCACTTAGGAGGCAGCAGTTGGATCTGTGAGATCCTGATTCAAACAGGCTTTGTGCAGGTGTGGTGATGCATACCTGTAATCCCAAAACCTAGGATTGAGGGCAGCTTGGGCTATATTGTGAGTTTATCAAGCACCAAAATTAGTTTACAGGGTCTGGAAGAGATGGCATAGCAGTTGAGGACTTGTTCTTGCAGAGGACCTGGTTTCAACTTCTTGCACCCCAATGTATACGTTCATACACATAAATACTAAAAAATAACCAGTCTGAAAGAGGTTCACAGTTAATTCCCAGCAACCACATGGTGGCTCACAACCATGATATGGTGCCCTCTTCTGGTGTGCAGGTGTACATGTGAAAAGAACACTGTATACATGTTTTTTTTTTAAATAATTATATATACAGTATTCTGCCTGCATGTACACCTGCACACCAGATCTCAATAGATGGTTGTGAGCCACCATGTGGTTGCTGGGTTTTAGAACCCAAACCCAGAACTTCTGTAAGAACATCAAGCACTCAAAAGTACTGAGCCATAGAACAAGCCTTGTTAGGTCTGGTAGGGCAAGGGGAAACTCAATGCTTCACAAAACAGAAGAGCGGTTTGACACATTCTACATTTTATTATGAGACAAACTCCATCCCCAGTTTAGACAAAACCAAAATTCCATCTGGTAGGATTGACTGATAATCACAGGACCCAGTTGATGATGATCGTAACTCTGTATAAACCTTTAGTCTTGCCATTGTGCGAATCCTTACAGACCCAGCTTTGTTCTCCTCCAGTGTCTTCTCTTGGAGTTGTACCTGTATGGAACCAAGCCACAAGTTACAAGGTGGTTTGGTCATAATCTAATTGCTCCTAAATCACAGACGTGGCCTTTTCAGGGAACAGGGGAGAGACTGTCTACAAAATAAATAATTGCTACACATGTGAAGGGCCCTGGTTTAGCAACCCATGTCAGGGATGCATGAGCTAGGACAACCTAGTTTAGAAATAAACAGGGCCTGGGAATTACAAGGACTAGCACATTGGAACTCAGATTAGATTAGGTGTCCCTAGAACTCACATTAAAGCAGGAGAGAGCAACTTCAAAGCTGCACATGATAAAGTAGCTTGAAAGCAGGCGCAGTAGTGCACACCTATAATCTCAGCATCCAGGGAGGCAGAGACAGGGAGATCTGTGAGTTCGAGGCTAGCCTGGTCTACAACAGCAAGTCCAGGACAGCCAGGACTATACAGAGTAACCGCGTGTCTGAAAGAACTAAAAAGGCTTGCAGAGCAAGGCCAACCAGTCTCTGAATTGTCCATGTTAAGGTGTCATGATTTTACCATAGAAAAGCAAAATCAGAAACAATCAACATGGCTTTTCTTTCAGCAGGATAATGGTAGTACTCCCAAAAAACTGAAGCACTATAATTGCAACCTGCTTTTAATTAAGTTTTCAAATATGTAAGAGAGGCTTAGGTTACAGTCCAGTGACAGAGCACTTGCTTAGTAGGCAGGGCACCTTGGCTCAAACCCCAACACCCATAAATGAAAGCCAGAAAATAAGTAATTATGTGGGTTTGGGTACATAATCTCCCCAACTCTAGGATATATTAGATGAACACATTGTGTAGTACCTCAAAGCTTTTCTTAGTGTTATATGTTGGCAAGACCATGGGTTTGAAAGAGTGTTGACTGCAATTAAAGTATGTATTTTAAAAAGAGCAGCACCAGGAGATAGACGATGGCAAGTAACTTGAATGTAAGGCCAGAGTGGGTTATTGAATATCAAGCTTAAGTGGCTAAATTAACTAAGAACATGGACCCTCAACTTTAGCCCCAGCAGATCCACACCCAGATTTTTACTATTAATCCCAAAGCCAAGCAGGGCATTTGTTTAATCCCAGCACTTTGGGAGGCAGTTGAGTCTGAGTTCAAAGCCAGCCTGGCTCACTCAAATTAAACCACCACCCCATAAATGTTTCTAGGCATTGGCAAAGGCCTGCATCTCAACAACACAGAGGAAGCTTGAGCATAACTGTGGAGATCCCACCAAGCCAGTAGGCAGGCACCATGGTTCACAGGGTAAAAGTTCTTACCACCAAGCTGGACAAATTGTGTTCAAACCCTAGAACCCATGCAGTCAAAGAAACTGTCCTGTGGCCACATGAAGACATGCATCCCCACAGACAAATGGAGTAAAGCAACACAAACATTGACATACCAGAACTGTCACTGATCACCTAGCAAAGTCCCAGGATTTTTTTCTACCTAGTTCCCTTCCCTCCAAGACTTGTCTCAAAGGCTTCGGACAAGACTCAGTAAGGCACTCCCTCTTGTATGAGAGGGGGCCTGGGTTTGATCTCTACCAATCCTCTCAAAAGCCCAGCTGGTCCTGCTTTTTTCTGAAGCTGATTCAACTTTGGCAGCAGAGTTTCCCATCAGGATAAACAGTTAAATTTCCTTAAGCTTTCATAGGGAAATTGGTAAGGAATCGAGAAAGGTTGTCCCCATAGTATAGCTGTGACCATGCAGGAACCAATGAAACATACTTACAAAGGAATTTCACGGGCTCTAGACAAGGTTAAGTAGGGAAAGCCCTTACTATGGAGCCTGGTGACCTGAGCTGGATCCCCAGGACCTACTAGGTGAATGGGGAAGTGATTACTGCAAGTTGTCCTCACCCACATACACCCGTTTACACAAAAGGAAAATCAAAGCGTTCCAGCACAGTAGGCAGAGGATGGCCAGGATTTCATTTATTTTTCGAATGCGTATCTACATGCCTAAAATTCTGTAAAAGCTAATGAAATCCAAGCAGGACAACAGAGGTCTTACCTGATTTTGTTACCAGTTTTCATCCGAATCCATTGAGGAATAGGACGATTCTGCTTTTGTTTCTTGGCCAGGAATCGCTTGATTCGGAAAGTCTTGTGAGAAGACTACGAGGAGATGCAACCAGTTTAGCAACACCAGAACCTAGTCATCTGGGGCTGTATTTTGTAACAGTAGTATCTACTTTTGAGGGGTGGTGTCTGGGTAATTTTGATTCATGCAGCCTTTCACATTAAGTAGGCATGTAAAAGGTATTGAAGGCAAAGAGCGCTAACCGCACCCCCCACCACTGTAGGAGTAGATGCCAATAAACATAATCTGTCAGTAGACAATGAATGCTGTGCTGTTGGCAGATGCTTCAAAGGAGTGATGCTCGAACTTCTGAAGATACCATGAAGTACAGTTAACGATTACTGTAGACAGCTTTTTTCACAAGTTCCCTTTCTGACCCTCTCCTCTTTGTGCACATCCAGAGAAGACTACAATTCAATCACCCGAGACCCAAAAGTGGCCCAAAGTTACCCTCCTTCCTCAGGGAAGCCGCCTAGAAACGGATGGCGGCCGATAATCTTACCATGACAAGAAGCCCAGTTAGGCGTAAAGCTCACGATGGAGGAGGAAAGGCGAAGAGGAAGGCCGGGCCGGAAGAACACGATTAGAAGACGGAGCTGGGGGTGGAGCTTAGGATGTGACGCAACGTGTCTTCCGGAGCTCCGCCCTGACGCTCCCTTGGGGCTGTGGAAACCCGCCCCGGATTCTAGGAAACATAATTCTCAGGCCTCCGCGTCCGTGGATGTGTTCCTCCAAGTGATCGTCACAGTCTTGCGGCACTGTCTTCGTGGCCGGGGTAGGTGGCCTTTGAGAAGCACCAGAGTAAAAGCCCTTAGCAAAACCCGGTAAACGGAGTAGGCGGGACCAACTCTGAGAAGGGCGGAAAAAGGACGCTGTCACTTTCTCACAGGGCGACTTCCGCCTGTCTTTGAAAGGGGCGGGGCTTAGGGTTGGGCGTGCACCTTCAAGGCGGGGCGGGTGACCTGGCGGAACGAAGGTAGATCTAGAGAGATTGTTTAACGGTTAAAACACTGTTGTAGAGAAACCCAAGTTCGGTTCCTAGCACCCCCCTCAGGTGTCTCACAGCCGTCTGTAATTCCAGCTCCAAGGGATAATATGACTCTGGCTTCCAGAGGCACCTGCACTCAGGATTTACATGTACGTATCCCCATGAAGACACACACTAACCAATAATCAAAAATAACCAAAAAATAAATAATAATAAAAGAGCTGGGCACGGTGGTGGCGCACACCTTTAATCCCAGCACTCAGGGAGGCAGAGACAGGCGGATCTCTGAGTTTGAGGCCAACCTGATCTACAAAGTGAATCCAGGACAGCCAAGGCTACACAAAGAAAAAAAAAAAAGGTCGCAGAAAAAAAGAAGTTGCAGGGCGGTGTTGGCGCTCGCCTTCATTCCCAGCGTTCAGGAGGCAGAGCCAATCGGATCTCTGTGAGTTTGACGCCATCTTTGTCTACAGACTGTGAATTCCAGAACAGCAAAAGGTGCACAGAGAAACCCTGCCTGGGGGGCGAAGTGGGGTGGGAGACATACAGCAGGGCAAGGGGAATGGTTAGTGGATAAAAGCAGTAGCCTGCAATCCTGACAACCGGAGATCAAGTCCCAAAAAAGAATGCACCAGGCATGGTGGCTCACACCTTTAATCTTACCAAGTTCAGGAAAGTAGAGGCAGGAGTATCCAGGACTACTACATAGAGACCCTGTCTCAATTAAAAAAAAAAAAAAAAAAAAGGGCGGAGCAAAAAGCGTGGTGGCCAATGCCTGGTCTACAGAGCGAGTCCAGGACAGCCAAGGCTACACAGAGAAACCCTGTCTCAAAAACAAATAAACAAACAAAAAGCAACAACAACAACAAAAAACAAGCCAGGTGTGGTGGCGATCACCTTTAATCCCAGCACTCAGGGAGGCAGAGGCAGGCGGAGCTCTTTGAGTTCAAGGACAGTGTGACTTGGTCTACGAAGTGAGTCCAGGACAGCCAAGGCCGCAGAGAGAGACCCTGTCTCAGAAAAAAAAAAATTACTTAAGATATATTTCAGTTCTAGAGCACTTGTCTATCATGAATGAGACCCATGGTTCTGTTCCCAGAACAGAACAAACAACAAAAAAGCTGGATGTAATAATGTGTATCTGCAACCCTAACATTCCTACAGCACAGTAGGAGGTGGAGACAGGAGAAACACCTGAAAGATTGAGGGCCAGCTAGCTGGAGTACTTAATACAGCAACACAAACTCTTCCTCAAAAGGTGGAAGATAACAACTAACTCACTTTGATCTCCAAACAAGTAATGTGTAAATAAAACAGAAAGTTGGGTATAGTTGTGTACACCTATGATGCTCAGAAGGCAGAGGCAATAGGATCCTGAGTGGTGGGCCAGCCTAGGTTATATATTGAGACCTTATCTCAAAAAAGTAAAATAGAGGGAATGCTATTTAACAAGAGGCTGAAAACTAAAGATAGTATCTGTTAATGTAGAAAGTTAAAGATTCCTTTTATCAGTGCTAAATTACTCTCAGGACTACCTTGTATATGCCTTCTTGGGGAGGGGACTCAGTCCCTGATGTGGAAGGCCTGAGAACCTCATGAGTATCCAAGCCACCCCTTCCTCACTACCTCACAGACACCTAACACACACTGCCCTTAGCTCTGGAATTTCTCCTGTTTCCTTTTAGCTTCACTTCTCCCAGCACAGCAGCTATCTTGACATGGCTGCCCACAATGTGAGAACTCATGTTGTGTCCAGTGCTGTATGATCAGTGCTCACTAAAGGTTCAGACTCATGGAAGTAATATTTTCTGCCAATGGACAGTCAACACCCAAGTGGTAACTGTAGAGTCACTATTTGATGTCTTTACAGTGGAAAGTGTGATTATAGAGATTGACCGTGTTGCTATGATGTAACAGGCAAATCCTATCTCTTAGGTTTCCAAGCAAAACCAGAGGAACAGAGGAAAGCTTTACGAAAGAGGGTTTTCTTTGCTTTTTTTTTTTTTTTTTTTTTTTTGACAGGGTTTCTCTGTGTTGCCTTCCTAGACTTGCTTTGTAGACCAGGCTGGCCTGGAACTCAGAGATCTGTCTGACTCTGCCTTCCAGAGTGCTGGGATTAAAGGTGTGTTCCACCACCACAACCAGCAGGAAAGAGATTCTTGCTGTTCTCCCATCTGCAAAAGAACAACAAAAGAGAACAGAAAAAGAATAGAAGGATGTTTAAAAAAAAAATTAAAGGCTCAGATACTAAACTGAGAATGGTGGTGTAGGGCTATATTCACAACCATTAGGAGGCAAAAGTAACAAAATTCCTAGGATTTGAACAGCCAGGGCTATAGAATGAGAACTTGTATAAATAAATCCATGCATACAACTCTTATCTTTTCTTAACTGCTGCCAAACTTTACAGCTTGCTTACTCTGAGTGTGAGTGTGTAGCCAGAGTTACTTACTTTGTGGGTTCTTTCTTCCACCTGTCTCAATCCCTTTTCTTCTTCCCCTTCAACACCCAAACACTAGATATGGGACAAAAAAGGATAGAGAGGAAAGGAAAGAGATCCTTGAATAAAGTTGGGGTCAGAAAGGGGGCTGGCGATATTATTGGACTACTTCCTGCTGATTAGAGGTTGTCAAGTTCCTTGGGGCAAGTTTGCTATCAGGATATCTAGTTTCTTGTTTCTTTTTTTTGCACAGGATTACCTAATAAACCGAAACCAACAACCCACCCCACCACCTGGGACCCTAGCATTTATATACACTCTGAAAATGCCCAGAATTCCACTCTTCACACAAGCACAGAAACTATCTGCAGCTGGCAAAATGCTTGCTACTTCCCCCACCCCTCACCAGACCATGAGGCAAATCATAGCTGCTGTGAAGCAGCCTAATATCCCCACAACTTTGGTTAAAATTAAAACATAGTGTTGTTTGTGTTTTTAAAGAAACCAAAATTCCAAAATTCTCACTACAACAGTGTGTTTCTTCTCAAATTCTAATTAAATGATCCTCTAGCTTCAGAAACAAACAAGCTCGGTATGGTAGTGAACTCCTTTAATCATAGCACTCAGAAGGCAAAGGCAAATCATCTCTTGAGTTCAAGGCAACTCGTTCTACAAATCCAGAACAGCCAGTGCTATATAGAGAAACCCTGTCTTGAAAAAACAAAACCAACCAAGCAAACAAACAAAAAAGACTCAGATGCCCACTGTCTGAATTGTCTTCATCCTGTCTCTAATTTCAAAGAAATCAGGAGCTGAGAGTGTAGCCCAATAGTAGAGTACTTAGTTAGCACCACTGAGGGTTTGGATTTAATCACCAGCACCATGCAAATTACAAAAAAATAGCCAGAAGTGGCATACGTCTTGAATCCCAGCACTCAGGGAGGCAGAAGCAGGTAGATCTCTGTGAGTTCGAGGATAGCCTTGTCTGCAAAGTGAGTCCAGGACAGCCAAGACTACACAGAGAAACCCTGATGGAAGGGGAGGAGGACCTCCCCTATCAGTGGACTTGGAGAGGGGCAGGGGAAGAGATAAAGGAGGGAGGGTGGGATTGGGAGGGAATGAGAAAGGGGGTTACAGCTGGGATACAAAGCAAATAAAATATATTTAATGTAAAAAATAATTTAATTAAAAAAGAATACGAAGAAAAAAATAGAGATTGCAAAGGAGAAAAAAACAAAAAAAGAAATAGCCATTAAAAAAAATGAAATCTGTGCCTGAAGGAAAAAGCAGACCAAAGTGGAATGAACTCTTTCTCCCACATTTGTGAAGAAATCTGATTATATACACAAAAAATAATAAGATTATAGATAAAAATTACAATCTTGCCTTTGTGTGTATATGTGTGTATGTTGCTAGGGATGGAATCCAGGGTCCTATACATGTTAGGAAAAGCATTCTACCATGGAGACATACCAGCTCCTGAGTTTATTCTTTGTTGTTGATTTTTTTTATTTTGATTTTTATTAATTACAATTTGTTCACTTTGATCCCCCCTGTAGCTCCTTCCCTCCTCTCTTCCAGTGTTGCTTTTTTGAGACAGGTTCTTACAATGTAGCTCAGGCTGGCTTCAAACTTACTATTTAGCACAGGTTGACCTTAGAGTGCTCCTCCTGCCTCAGCCTCTTGAGTACCAAACATTATAGATAATATACCATCATGCCTGGCTTCTATATGTTTATTATTATAAATAACATGAAATTATGATTTATGGCAGCAAAGGTGGGACATAGTGGCACATACCTTTAATCCTAGCTCAGGGAGCAGAGACAAGCAGATCTCTGTGAGGACAGCCTGGTCTAGAAAATGAGTTAAAGGACAGGCAGGGCTACACAGAGAAACCCTGTTGCAAAAATAAAATAAAATAAAATAAAAAACAAAGAAAAATAAAGGTGCTAAAGGGGACGGAAAAGAAACAAACTGGGGTTTGGAAAAAGGGGGCAAGGGACAGTAAGATACCTCAGTTGGTAAACCTGAAACCTGAGAACCAAGCCCCAAAAGTTATTCTCCATTATGTCATTTATATTGTGTAGCTCCACAATATAAATATAATAAAAATCAAAATTAGGACTGGAGAAATAACTCAGTGGTTAAAAGTTGGTACTACTATTTGGAAGGGGTTAGGTTTTGAGACAAGACCTCTCTACATACCCCTGGATGTCCTGGAACTCAGGCAGGTCTTGAACTCAGAGAGCCAGCCATCTGCTTCAGCCTCCCGAAATGAAATGCTAGAATTAAAGGTAATGCCTGGCCTAAACTGGTACATTTGCAGAGGACCCCAGCTCCATTCCCAACATTCACAATGATTGCCTCATTACCAGCTCCAGAGAACAAAACACCTCTCTCTGGCCTCCATAGCCACACACAC